AGGAATAAGTAGTATAGATAATGGGTGTATGGATAGATTGTAAGGATTACTTTTTTATTTGTTAATTTTTAGACACTTTTCCAAGTGTTAATTGAAGCTTGTGAATAATCAGATTCATGCAAATATATAATATTAAGAAATGTCAGGGTGTCTTTCCGGATTAAAATAGCACCTATTCGGTCTATTCACCCCAAAACAGTGGTCCTTAGGTTGCTTCTTAGTCAAAACGGTGGCCCCTGAGTCACAACAAGCTGAAAACCCCTGTTCCAGCTAATGTTTCGCCACATCACCGAGACAAACTCCTTGATTATGGAAACCTTCTTGCAATAAAACCACTTCTGATGATTTCTGAAGAGTTCTGTGAAACCAGTGACACAACACAAACCTGTCAGCAAAAGGTTTTTTATTCCTTGTTGCAATGGTTCCACAAGACATGTGATCATTTCATTTATGCAGCTGGTGCAGAAACATACAATTCCATAATAAACAGAGCATTTGGTGTATATTGTATGTGGACACAGGCGATAACCTCCAGATAAATCAAGACCAAGGTAACATGCAAAATGTGTCTCTTTTATTAGTGCATGTAATTTATCCCCTGTTTGCATTTACTAAATGTCAAGTATTATAAAAACTTAATATGAGCACAATGCCATTGTGCTCCTATTAAAATTCCAGTTGTATTGCTATGGAAACTACTTAGAAAAAGCAGAGCTTTCATTTCATTAAATACTTGTAAAACAACCTTTGAACCTCACCGAGAAATAAGATAATGATGATTCCAAACACTGTTGGCCATTTACATTCAAACCTTGCAATCCTCTTCATTATGTAAACACTGCCATCCCTCTCTCAAGGAAATAATAATGCTGATCATAACAATCAAGCTCCTTCCATTGTGAGTATTATATAGAAGAAGTAAATGAGAAAATCTAGCATCTAATTTAGCCCTGATGGTTTGTTGGTGTAATTCAATCCATGTCACTAGAATGGGTTCTCTGATTATGTGCTAGAAAACCTTTGGGGATATTCTCGAGGTTGGAGTGAGACCAGAGAGGATAATCAATGATTAAAGTGTCATAAAAAAAAGCTACAGTAAACAAAGCCCTCCTAGCTTGATCATAGACTGTTTCAAGGCTAAATTGCCAAAATTCTCAAGAGATTTCAACCTATTCATGTTGATCAGTGTCTACATTTGGAGGGTATTTACACGCTCTCCTAACACTGATGATGAATTCTGAGCTGAGATACAAAAAAAGGAAAAAGGAAAAAAGACCTGGAATCAAAGATTTCCTTTGAGAGTGTATGATCAAAAAGATCTCGCCTTCCATTTCCTCTGGTATACTTGTTGGGAAAAACAGCACCTTGCTCGCACAAATAGACTACAGCTACCCCATCCCCCCGCACAGCACACTCTGCTGATGATAGCCTCAAGAAACACAGAGAGGGAAAATGTGAACATATTGTAGCATGACCAAAAAAAAAAAGAGAGACGTGTGAAATACAGCGTTCAGCAATCAGCACACACAATCAGTTGTCAGAGCTGGTGGAGGCAGTGGGAAGTGGGAGTCTGTGGCTTGGCTGGGCTCAGCAGGTGTCACCAAAGGTCTGAGCACAGGGATGACTGAGAGGGTAATTGGATGGGGTGGCACCGTGACTCCTGCCTGGGAAGAGGAAGTGGAGGAAGAGGGAGATGAGGGAGCGTGAAGCGAGAAGAAGCATATGCTGTTGGGTGAGGATCTGGCCCCTTTAGGTGGCCCCGCTGTGAACTCTCCTTGAGACAGGAGGGGGATAAAATAAAGCGGCACTGTCTGTGAGTTGCTTTGACTAACAAGATGTGTACTGTACACCAGTTGGTGTAAAGCAGGAAGGCACGCTAATGAGCAAACAAGGTGACGTTTATCAAACAGACTGAAAACCTTTGATGGTGAAATTTGTTTGTGCAATAAATTATACTTTTTAATTATTGATTTGTGCAACAAAAAAAAATGGGAGGCTGCTTGTCACACATGAAAAGATGACAAGACAGCATCTAAACATAGGCCAATACAAAATGAATTAAATTTACTGTATGATATCTTAATCAGAGCACAGTTTGCAATTAATGAGAGAACCGGGAAAGAACATCAGTAATCTTACATGTCATTTCCCTGTGCAAACTCTAAAGTGAGGGCAGCCCTAACCATTGCAATAATCGTAGGAAAAGCAACGACATTGAGTCATTGCATAAAACATCATTAATCGGTACACACAGCACAACCTGAGAGTCTGTTATACTCATAAACCTTTTCATAACAGATGTACCAGACTGTCTTTGTACAACCGTATAAATAGCTTTAACTTGATGTTTTCCCTTTGCAGTACCATTAATTTGATATGTACACTGCAATTACAATAAATAACTATTAGGCATTACACCAGTGAATCTGAGAAGCAGATTCAGGAAAAAGTTTAGGCTGTTGATGAATACTCTGCACTACTTATTTTTCTGAGGAAGGAGGAAGAATAGGGCATAATAAGAGAAATGGGAATAGGCAAGGAGCAAAAAAAAAAAAAAAGAATGAAAAATAAAAAGATGTGGGGGAATGTCAATCACTCACTGAGTAGGTGCAGCACGGCTGGCGAATGGAAAAAGAATCAATGAGAAAGTATGAGGAGCAGCCAGCTAGGGAGCCTGAACATAGGGCGGAGAGAACAAGAGAAAGAAAGAGAGCAATTGAGAGGCAAAACACACACACACACACACACACGCACAGAGTTTATGTGAGTGCGAAATAGGGAGATGAGAGAGTGGGCAACAAGTGGGACAACACGTCCTGGGAGGGATTACCCAGGGTTCATTCTGCAACCTGGAATTACAGCACGAGGAAAAGATTAGGGTGGCTGCTCACTGAAGCATCAGGATTGGCTGATTTCCTGTCAGAAATATGCCATACCCAATAGTGTGTGGCGAGGCCGCACTGTGACAGACACATCCATCATATATGAGAGTTGCAATAGCTGCCATTATCAGGTATAATGTCTTACAGCCCACTTACACCGAGACTAAAGCATTCAGGTGTCACCACAGTGCAAATGAGTCTGAGTGAAAATACGTATGTGTGTTTCTGGCTGTATGCGAGCTAACCATATCAGTGGATGCAAAACATCCTCAGGGGCCTCTGAGGACGGACTTTTATTGCTCTCAACAAAAAATATGCTGAAGTAGATGCAGTTTTTGCCCATCAGCAAACATTTCCACCAGTTGAATCAACAGCTAGCACCCAGTTAAAACTGAACAGACGACAGTTACTGTATAGTGCGCACTCACTTTGTCTCACAATGATCACATTGTTCAAATGGCATTGTGTTAGTGTGTGCATAACTGTCAGTTATGTGTTTTCTCCATGGAACGGTGGCAAAAATATTTTTTGCAGAATCTCTCTCTGGTATGAGTCATCATCAACAGGAATGAGACTAATCAGGGAGGAGCCGTGGGCAAACCTCAGGGGCTAGACAGACACAGGTGGTGGTGTAGGTGATTGGCACGGCTATACAGTAGAAGGAGGAATAGAGAAAGCACACTGTCGTGACTGACTGAAGAAATGGAGATACAGACTTTTTACAATATTCTTGCCATTTCCTGCTAGTCAAGAAGTCTCAAATTCCTGGTAATGAA